ACAGAGATCCGCCTGCCTCTGCCTTCCGAGTGCTGGAATTAAAGGCATGCGCCACCAACACCTGGCGAGATTTGACTTTTTTAAGGTATATAAAATAATAGGAGCTTGGCTGGGCAGTGGTGGTGAACACCTTTAATTCAAGAATTCAGGAGGCAGAGGCAGGCAGATCTCTGTGAGTTCAAGGTCTACACAGTGAGTTCCAGGACTGCTAGGGATACACAGAGAAACCCTATCTCAAAACAAAAACAAACCAAAAGAAAAGAAAGAAAAAAGGGTTGAAGAGATGGCTCAGTGGCTAAGAGCACTGGCTATTCTTCTAGAGGACTTGGACTTGATTTCTGCACCCACATGGTGACTCACAATTATCTATAACTCTAGTCCCAGGGGAGCTGATGTCCCCTTCTGACATCAGTGGGCACTTGTTGTGTGGCAAGACTTGCTGGGGAGACACAACACACACATCTACTCACCTCAGATAGGGAGCCCACAACAGATCAAAGTTTGGATAACACCAAAATCTAACTTGGTGAACTAATGAGCTTTACTGGGGATAGTTACAGGGATGTGAGTGGGTAGTAACAGGAGCAGAAATAACTCAGCATGGGGGATGGGTGACCGGAGCTGAGAACCTGGAGCACACTGCACAGTCTGCAGGCAGTTTAACAAACTGAAGAGTGTCCTTCCCGAGTGACTCAGTCTACACCTCTTCCAGGCAGCTAGCTAGTCTAGTCTGAGAGTTTTCTTTACATCTAGGCTTGTCTCCGAATGATGGCAGGGAACAGCCTAGTGATTCTAGTCAATTTCAGGGACTTCCGTGAACTATTTTTTTTTTAAACAAATGTAACACATCTTTTTTTTTAAATTTTATTTATTTATTATGTATACAACATTCTGATTCCATGTATATCTGCACACCAGAAAGGGCACCAGATCTCATAATGGATGGTTGTGAGCCACCATATGGTTGCTGGGAATTGAACTCAGGACCTCTGGAAGAGCAGTCAGTGCTCTTAACCTCTGAGCCATCTCTCCAGTCCCCGGGAACTATTTAGAGTTGTTTGCCTTCTATCTTATGTACTTCCCTGC